TTCAGCTGTGGAATGCACTGGGAACAGTGGGATCCAGTGTGCTGCTCCTCTCCTGGCCTCTCTGCCACTCATCCTTCTCCAGGATCAGCTGCTGGGGGTGCTGGAACGTGGCCTGGAGGAGCTGCAGATGCAGCCCTGGTGGCAATAGCCCTGTCAGGAGCAGCAGGTGCCATGGTCAGGCCTTTCCCACTGCCCTTCCCTATCCCTGGGAGAGGAACCCCGAGGAGACTGCAGGGCCTGGATCCCCTCCCAGCCCTCTGGACGTGTCACTGGCACAAGTCCCTTGGGGTGGGATTGGTGCTGGGTCGTTCCCAGAAGGTGATGTGGTGCTGAGTGGAATCCTCCAAACCAGCCTGAACCAATCCAGGGGAGTGGGAATGTTCCCCTTGGATGCTAAATGGGAGTGGAAGCTCTTCCCAAATCCTGCCCTGGTGCTCTGACGAGCCTGGGAAAGGGACATCCCATCCTCACTGGGATCAGTGGTCTCCAGTTCCTCTTCCCATCACACATTCCCCAAAATTCCAGCCCAGTTCTGGGCCTTTCTGTGCTACTTTGCCCAAGTGAAACCCACAGATCATTTCCCTGCTCCTAGTTTCCTGGTGTCTGCAGGACTTGGGAACTGTCCCAAGCAGGAGCAAAGCTGCTTTTTTTCCCCAAGGGTCAAACTGTCCAGCCAAAAAATCCCTGGAATTTAAACAACTGGAGCCCTGTCCTGTTGGGAGCCAGGGGTGGCTCCAGACCTTCCCGCAAGCTCTCCGACGTGTCCTGGGGGACAGCACAGCATGTAGGGCTGAGCCTGGAGCAGCTTACCGAAATCCAAGGGCACCCAGGCTGGGGTTTGGGTGGACTGGGATGTTGTGGTCTGGGATGTTTCTTTTTGACAGCTTTTTATAGGGAAAAAGCAGATTTCTGGGGGGCACAGGAGGTGGAGTTTGTAGCTTCTGGCCCTGAGCAGTGTCTGACTGCAATTCCAGCCAGAAATAGCTCATTTTAATGGATCAGATTTCTCTGGGGACAGACACAGGATGTGGATGTGTCTTTGCTGCAGCCTTCTCCTTCCCTGCCACAGCACTCTCCTCTGGAGCTTCCAGGCCCATGGAGAGCTGTCTGGGGTGGGAATTCCTGGGAGCAGTGGGAGAATCAGGGGGTCTCTGTGGGGACTACCTGGTGTTCTGACTTGGGACAAGGCCTGGAGGGACAGGACACAGGGAATTGCTTCCCACTGCCAGAGGGCAGGGACAGGTGGGAGGATATTGGAAAGGAATTGTTCCCTGTGAGGTGCTGAGGCACTGGCATAGGGTGCCCAGAGCAGCTGTGACTGCTCCATCCCTGGGAGTGTTCCAGGCCAGGCTGGATGGGGCTTGGAGCAGCCTGGGCTGGTGGGAGGTGTCCCTGCCTGGGCAGGACTGGATAGACTTTAAGGTCATTCCATGATTCCATGGTCAGGTGAGCACAGGTATGTCCGAGCTTTGCTCCCTGATGCCAGGACAGAGTCGTCTGTAGGAGAACTGTGGTTTGGGTGGACCCTTCAAGCCTATCCAGTGCCACCCCCTGCCCTGGGCTGGGACACCTCCCACTAGCCCAGGTGGCTCCAAGCCCCATCCAAGCTTTCCCTTCGCTCTGGCATGGTGGATCCAGGGATGGCAGACACAGCAGCTGTTTCAGCAACACTCCAGAGGGAGGAGAGCCAACACCACCCTCCACCCTGGGCTGGATCAGGAGGGAGAAAAATGCCCAGGAGGATGTTTTGGGCTATTCTGTGCTGGATCCTTGCAAAACCAATCCTTGCAGACTTGGGAAAGGTCTGTGGTGTAACTGGGGAAGGAAGAAGAGCTGGTGAGGCAGGAGGTGCAGCCAGGTGGGGTCAGGCTCTGCTCCCAGGGAACAGGGACAGCAGAAGGGGAACACCTCAGGTTGTGCTAGGGGAGGTTCAGGTTGGATATTGGCATAATCCTGGAAAGGTCTGTCCAGCCCTGGCACAGCTGCCCGGGGCAGGGCTGAGGTCACAAATCCGGAGGGATTTAACAGCCATGTGGATGTGGCACTTGGGGACATGGTCAGTGGTGGCCTTGGCACTGCTGGGAAGGGTTGAACTCGATGGTCTCAGAATTTACAGGAATGCTTCCCTGTGAGGTGCTGAGGCGCTGGCACAGGTTGCCTGGAGCAGCTGTGACTGCTCCATCTCTGGGAGTGTTCAAGGCCAGGCTGCACGGGGCTTGGAGCAACCTGGACTAGGGGTAGGTGTCCCTGCCCATGGCAGGGGTGGGACGAGGTGACCTGGAAGGTCCTTGCATGTTCTCCTGGGCTGTGCTCAAGTCCCTTGTCCTCAGCATGTCCCTGGCAGGAGCTGAGTTGCCCCACCAGGGAGGTCCCAGCAGCATTGGGAATTTTCCACAGCTCCTCCTCAGCCAGTGCTGGCGCTGAGGAAACAAGGAAGACCCCCTGGAGGCTTGGAAACTTCGGGGGAGTCCTGGGTTCACCAGCTGGAGTTACCTCCAGCCCTAGGAGCAGGGTGGGAAGTCCCAGGAGCTGGTCCAGCGCTGTTGGGAGGTGCCTGGAGTGTGGTGGTGGCACAGCCCGTGGTGGTGTGTGCTCTGGGGCAGCAGTGCCACCTCCTGGAGCCACTTTCCTGCCTGGACTGGGGTGGTGGTGCCATGTGTCTGCCCAGCACTGCAGGGCCTGGGGGCTTAGTGCCGTGGGGTGTGCACATCACTGGGGCACTGGCTCCCCTGCCCACCCTCACTGGGGTCACTGGGGCACTGGCTTCTCTGCCCAATGCTCTCCCCGTTGCCTGCCCTTCCCCACGTGTGTCCTTGGGAGCTGGTACCAGTGGGACTGAGGTTTGCCTCACACCATCCAGA